GGTCGAACTGCCCTTGTGCGTTTCAGAGACTGTAACTCTTTAAGGGAGTAGAAAGTCATGTCTTTCTCCCTTGGAGGAGAGGCTGGTGATTTCAAATTGCTGACCGTCTGGCTAGCAGCCCAATGCATAACCACTACACACCAGGGCTCCTCAAATGGTAGTAGGACTATTTAAAAGCCATATGCAAAAATGAACTTCTGTTTTACTCCTCTTAGCTTACATAAGATTAACTTACAACAGATCATAGATTTAAATATAATATGCAAAAATATAAACATTTTAGAAGAAAACATCATGACCTGGGGTTACTCAAAACGTTATTAGAGGTGATACTGAAGTCTGATTTATACAAGAAAAATTGAAATTTAAGTTTTATGAAACAATTTTTTTCCCTGTGAGATACCGTTAGGAGAATAAAAGGACATGCTAGATAATGGGAGAAAATGTTTTCAAATCACATGCCCAACCAATGACTTCTTTCCAAAATATAGGAAAACCCTCGGGTCTCAGCTGGAAGCAAAGAAACAGCCCTTTTAGAATGGGCAGCAGTTGAACAGACACATCACCCCAGACGGTCTACGTCCAGACGCCTGACATCATCAGTTGTAGGGAAATGACACCGACACCACCACTGGATACCTTCACACATTTAGTAAAATGGCTGAAAACAATGAAACACTCGAATGTTGGTGAAAATGCAGAGGAAATGGAAACCTCATACATTTCAGGTGGGAATGCCACATGATACAGCCAGTTCGGAAATAGTTTGGTAGTTTCCTATACAGTTAAATATATACTTGCCCTATAAGTGAGCAATCTCACATCTGGGGAGTTGCTCTAGAGCAGGGCTGTCAAACTGGCGGCCCGCGGGCCGTATGCGGCCCTTGAGGTAATTTTTTGTGGCCCACGATGATCTGAAATAAAATGTAATGCCCTCGTTACATTGTGTGTATGGTATTGCCTCGCTCTCCCTTAAGCGCTATTTTCTTCTAACAATTTTTTCTATTTTCATTTTATTTCAGAGCATCGTGGGCCACAAAATATTACCACAGGGGCTGCATGCAGCCTGCAGGCCGCCAGTTTGAAACCCTTGCTCTAGAGAAACAAGAACAGAGGTTCACATGAAAACCTAAACACATTTTTTAAGCTGTTCTTTAGAGTTCCCAAACCTGGAAATCATCCAACTGGCCTTCAACAGATGAATGGAGAAACACATTAGGGTGCATTTGTACAGTGGGATCAGAGTCAACAATAACAAGCCACAACATAGGCGGATCTCAAAGGTATTTGAAAGACAGCGAGTGAAGGAATACAGTCTCAAATATGATATACTGTCTGACTCAATTTATATGACCATATAAAAAAGACTAACCTATACTTCCCTGGCAGGGGAGACACCATGATCAGAAGGTGGTTTTCCCAGGGCGAGGCTCACCCATTGCACCGCCGGTGTGCTGACCCCTGCGAGTTCCCCAAATGAAGGAAACTCAACTGCATAATTTGTGGTAGTGGGGGACTGCGTCCGCGCTTTCCCCTGTTTTAAAATTAAAAAAAAAAAAAAACAGCAGAAAAAAAAAGGACTGAACTATAGCAATGGAGTAGCAATCATGAGGAATTTTTTGGTGGTGAAATTATTCTGTACCTGATTGTGATGACAGTTAAATTACTCTATAGGTAGTAACAAAACAAAACAAAAAACTCAAAAGCCTGACTCACCATTATTGCTTCCAAGAACAGTGACCATACAGGACAGAGAACTGCCTCATAGAGTTTCCAAGACCATACATCGTCTTCATGGAAGCAGATTGCCACATATTTCTTCCATGGAGCAGCTGGTGGTGTTTGGACACACACACACACACACACACACATACACACACCCACACACACACGAG